CCTTTTATTTTTCTTCATTACACATTGCAATGTCTCTGAATTGGTTTGCTTCCCTTCAGATTTTCATTCTTGGGAAACACCTAGATCTCAAAAATTTTGCAGTTTGTCATCCCACTTTGTAACCCTTCCATTCAGTAATCACAATAAATGCAAGATGTTCAGAAAATTGAGTGTTTGTGATGGTTCTCTATTACATACTCATCTCAGGTTTCCATAAGAGCACTAGAATGATCCATTTCCCCCAAAACTCTCAACAGTAATGCAATGTATGTAATAGAAAAACATCTTGTTTCAAAGAGAGGTAACATTGGTGCTCATACATACAAGTGGTAACTTTCTAGACTATATGAAGACAGCTCATTTCTGTATAGCTTGTATATTTATAGACTTTGTTTACATGCTGTGATCAATGTGGTGGGCCTTACTGCTGTCATCCTGCTCCTAACCTCTACACACTGACGGTATGCAGAATTCAACTGTCTGTGCATAGCTGTAGTTGGCAATATAAGAGGCTGAAAGTTAGGTCCCAGTTAATAGTCTAGGAGTATTTCATATTGCAGAATGGTGGAAACTAAATAGATATGGACATAGTCAACAACATGATTGGAAGACCACTGGAAAGCTCATTTGAAAATAGTCATTTAAGAATTTTAAGTTATTTTAATAATAGTTATTTAAGAATTTTTAAAAACAACAGTAGCATTTAAAGTATTCTCAGTTTCTCACAGTTGGAAATATTGGACATGATATGAGAAAACAAGGGCAACATATATCATGTTCATCAAAATAAAGATGCTTCTATATGCTTAAAATAATGTTGATAGGTACCTTTAGCAGGTGGAGCCTCTGGTTCAGGAGGTTTCTTTTCTGGAATGATTTTCTTGGGAACTTCTGGGACTTGAAAATATATTGTTCAGTTTTAATTTTTAAATTTATAAAAGATGAGAAAACATTAAAAAGAACAGACTTAAAAAGAACTCCAAGTTTGTAAGAGAATCTCAAGTATTGCTAAGACATGGCCCTTTCACAGAAGAGCAGAATTACTTCCAAAGATTTATTTAAAAAATGAAACAAAGATTTCTTTAAAAAATGAAACAAAACAATATCTGGAAGTAGTGAATGTGAAAAAACCCTATTATTATTAAATAGTCAAACACACACACACACACACACACACATTGCTCCAATATGTATAAATATGTGCTGGAGGTTCAGGCTTTTTCATAGATGCTTTTCCTTCTGCGATTATTTTCTTAAGCACCTCAAGAACTTCAAAAATAGTAAAGTGTTTCAGATTTAAAAGATGAAGGAAATCAGGGAAGAGAAAATTAACAGATACATAATGTGAATATTTCTTTTTAACACAAACATGAAAGGCAAAAATTACATATGACTACATGGCATGATTTCCACTATACACAGTGACCTCAAATGAGGGAGAGGCTATTAAATAAGTATTTGTGGACATCCATTTGTGCAAATGCAGACAAATGGATTTTCTGCTTGTAATCAAGCCAGAGTACATGATGATGATGGTCATTATGATATCTACCTTTAGCAGGTGGAGGCTCTGGTTTTTTGAGCTGTATTTTCTCTTCAGCAACCACTTCCTTAGGTACCTCAGGAACTTTAAAGACAAGAATTTATTTTATTTGTTGAAATTTCAAAGATGTATATGAAATAATAAAAACACATGGAACTAAAAAAAACAACACAACACACTGGACTTCATGAATATGGACAAAACTAAACTAGTAGAAGCCTGACACAATTCACAAAAGAGAAGCTTTTCTCTATATATTTAGAGATCACACAGCAAGAACACACAGACACAGATCTATAATCTTCCTCCCTTGAGAAAATATGTGTTAAATATTGATCTGGTTTCATAATATAATGAGTAATACATACCTTTAGCACGTGGAGCTTCTGGTTTCTTAGGCACTTCAGTGGTAACTTTCTTTTCTGGAACAACTTTCTTTGGCACTTCTGGCACTTTAAAAATAATATTATTTTACTACCAGTACTTTAAGTAACTAATGCAAAGAATAAACAAATTGTTCATTGCTAAAACCCAATATGAAACATGGCTACATCTCATCGTTCAAGGCTGTGATGCCTACACTATTTAAGTACAGTGGGCACACAATACACTAACAATGTAAAAAAAAAAATTCTTAAAATGTGTTGTCTTACTTATTATTGCCTTAAAAAGGAAATATACCTTTAGCAGGTGGGGGTTCTGGTTTCTTTGGCACTGCAACTGGAACTTTTTCTTCTGGGACAGGCTTCTTTGCTACCTCAGGCACTTAAAAATAATAGTTAATGTTAATGTTATGCATTCCAAGCATTTAAAATATTTCTGTCATCTTAACTCTATAAAGAAAAGTTGCAGATGATCACACTGTACACACAGCATGACAAAGGCCTGAAATATACAGGCTAAATGAAGTGGCTTCTGGTTGCCTTGGAGGCATGGTGGTTACATGATGCATGCCCCCAAAGTAGCCGGAAGCTGCTCTGACGCTGCTGTCTGGTCCAAAGGACCAGGCAGCGTGGCTTTGGATTGTAGGTGGTGGCCTGCTGTACTCCCAGCCTGATCTGGAGGCTGCTTCTTCCTGGCCATCTGCTTCACCCCTAAGAGTCCAAATGAAATTAAATATAGGTACAAATGATCACAATAAATGAATGGCAGGAATTGGTATTTTTAAAAACCATATATACCTTTAGCTGGTGGTGCTTCTGGTTTTTTAGGTACAACTTTTTCTTCTGGGACACGTTTCTTTGGTATCTCAGGCACTGTTAAATGAAGAGGATTGACTTTGGTTATGCTTTGGCACAGAAGTAATGACGCATCTAGTGTTTAAGAAACAGTAGCAATAATACAGCCAGTACTATGGCAGCATGGGCAAGTATGCAAATCCTTCTTTTGTCTTTGCATATGAGGACAAATAATTGCAGTAGCTTTCTTCCTGCCATGAGAGAAATCAAATATTTCTCAGAGATATTCTGCCCATATCTGTATGTCTCAAAGTATTGCAGATGAAACATCTTGCACTTTTTTGCACAAGAATCCTGTTTTCTGTGTAGAAAAATGGTTTCTGCAAAGAAAACGGGGAGGTTTTTTTTTGTGTGTGTAGGGAAATCAGCAAGATTCTCACTTGCCTATTATACTTCCCATTGGGATTTCCTTGCTGTCAGGAAACTCATTTTTTTTTACCAGGGAATAAATATTAATAAATATTGTTCCCATCTTTAGTATGGAGAGCTTTCAAAGAATGATAAAGAGATGAGAGACAGAAGCATAGACAAATTACAGCCCACTGGAAAGTGAAATGCTATACTGGCATTTTCTCACAGTTTTGGTGGAGACAACTTTCACATATGAATATGGTAATTCAACCTCAACTGATCAGCTTTGAGATCATGCGGCTAATGTGGACACTGTTTTCTGTACAATGAAATCCAGCAACACCCTGGATGTCAATAAAGCATATAATCTAAACTAAAGTTCCAGTCCTAAACATACTTAGTAGGAAGTATGCCCCATCAAATTTTAATCCATTGCATTGTTCAGTTTAAGGTTGTATTGGTCACAGTTTTTAAATCCCACTGAACTCTGACTTACTTTTGAAAAAAAATAAGCATAAAGATTACCCTACACCCCTTCTAGCATGGACTGCAGAAACTTTGGCAGGCCCTCTGCCAGGTGTCTAGGCTGTCTGAAGTATAGGGATACAATTCTTCACTGTTTCTTCTTAAAGATAACTATGAATAATTGCATAACTTTTATTTCTGCTGCAAGAAAGTCTTAGAAAACCATACAGTTTTTGAAGGCTGTTTGCAATTCAGGATGTAATTTGCATAAAAAATGCATGTGGTTATTTTGCACAGAAAACAGCATTTTCTGCACAAGAAACAGCATTTTTAGCATGAATAATAACATTTCAATACAGAAATATTAATTCCTGTGGATAAAATGCTGTTTTATGAAGGGAAAAATGAAATGTTATTTCCATGCAGAAAATACTGCTACCTACACAGAAAATGCTGTTGTCTTCATGAAACAACCATGTGCGATTTTGCACAGAATAAGTTTTGAGCGGTGAAAAGTCTTGTCAGTCCAAGATTCTTCTCATCAGGGTTTTGCAACACTGAATAAATGCATTTTCTGATAATTTAAAAATATTTTTGAATATTCTTTTCATCCCTACTGAGGTGAAGAATGTCAGTAACTGCAAAATGGCCTTCTCAATGGTTGATATTCACTAGTTCAGGAGTGGACGTGTAACCTGTGAGGCACATGTGTCCCTGCCAGGGCCATATTGGTGGCCTTCAGAGGTGCCCAGGGATTAAAAATGCAAAATTTCTCAAAACCATTTTTGCCTGAAAAACTCCCAAAATGCCATTTAGGGTCCCCCATGTCTCTATGTTCTTTAGAGACCATTTGAAGGAATTTCCCCCCAGGACTAGATACAGTTAGTGGTATGGTCTTTCATGATCTCCTGAAAGGCTAATGTTCCACCCTGGTCTTCCACAGTTGACCATCCCTGCACTTCAGGAACTCTGCAAGGAGATTCATCTATCATGTAATTTGATGAGGTATTTTTTGGTGTAAATTTAAAATATCTTTTATTACTCAACCATTTCACTATTGATGAAACGGGCTTAATGATGTTTTTCTCATGTTTTGTTTTGTATCATCATCATCATAACTGTGAAGTTGAAGCTTTCACGGCCAGCATCCATGGTTTTTTGTGGGTTTTACAGGCTATGTGGCTGTGTTCTAGAAGATTTTATTCCTGATGTTTCATCAGCATCTGTGGCTGGCATCTTCAGAAAATGCATCTGAAGATGCCAGCCACAGATGCTAGCAAAACATCAGTAATAAAATCTTCCAGAACACAGCCACGTAGCCCAAAAAACCCACAAAAAACATCATCAGAATTGTCAACAACAACAATTTTGTCATAATCTTCCATGGGATCCAAATTTATAGAGCCAGTATGGTGCAGTGGTTTGAATGTTGGACTACAGCTGTGAAGGTCAGGGTTTGAATTCCTGCTCAGCCATGAATACCCATTGTGACCTTGGGCAGGTCACACTTTCTCAACTTCAGAAGGTGGCAAGGGAAACCTTCCTCTGAGTAAATCTTGCCAAGAAAACCCCTTGAAAACCCTTAGGGTCACCATAAGTCAGAAATGACTTGAATGCAGACAAAAAGAAGTAATCTTATAGGCTATATATCCAGAAAGAAACAAATGACATTAGCAACATAAAACATGTTTTTGTAAATATGAGCAATATTTAGGAGAATAAAAAATCAACCATATTAAGGACAAACAAATTTTAACTGACTGTAGCTTTCATGGCCAACTTGTTCATCCTTAAGGTGCTTTGATGTCTTTTCTACAAGAGAGTAATATGGCTACCCTTCCCCGCAAAAGGGAAGATGGATATTATTTGAAGAAGACATAGAGAAGAAAATTTGGAATACAACAATCAGTAATAACATTTAGAAGAACAAATCAGACATCATTTTGTCCCCTCAGCCATTTTCTGTTTTAACTTTAATGATATGTACCTTTTGCTGGAGGTACTTCCGGCACAGCAGTTGGCACTTTCTCTTCTGGGACAGGTTTCTTTGGTACCTCAGGCACTTTAAAAAAATAGCAATGTTTTCTGTTACATTTCAGAACATTTAAATCTAGGTTATCGTGTTAAGGATCAAGAGGCATCTCTAAAGGAGTATCAGGAAGGTTAGTGATGATGGCAACACAGTGGCTTCAATCCAGTGCACACTTAAGTCCCATTGAATCCACAGCTCTATGGATTGTGGCCAATACCCATTATAAGATTTCCAATTAAGAAATTGAATCCATTTTCAAAGAAAGAAGTAAAAAAGAATGTAATTTTTTTTTAGAGGAGGGCGTAACCACATTTTTTCACCAGAATCATATCAAGGCTTACGTATGAGATATACCTTTAGTAGGTGGTGGCTCTATTTTCTTATGAACTGCGACAGTTATTTTCTCTTCCAGCACAGCCTTCTTGGGCACCTCAGGAACTTTAAAGATATTAATATGCTTTACTTAAAGAATTCCCAATAGTTTATGACACAGTATAAAGAAGTACAAAAGACAACAAAAGACATTTTCAGACAGACAAAAAAAAAAAAAAAAGACAGAAAGACATGTAGTGACATTAATAATTTGGCAGGTAAATCACATAAATGGGTGTTTGGTACAAATCAGGTTGCTCCCTGTAACAGTGCACACACCTCTCCTTCACACAGTTGTAGCCGAAGTGACTAAAGATAGTGGGCTAAGAAATCCAAGCTTCATTTCATTCATACAAAATTCTTCATCTATTTGACTAGTCATATTTTCAATTAATTCTTTGTGCTCTTCTGTTGTTGGTTGACGGAACTGGTTAGAATCTGTTGAACCTATGGAAGATATCTAAGTGTCTACTGCAGCCATCTCCTGTGGCCCACCTGATATCTCCTAAACTATTTAGCTTCCGTTTTCTTGTTAGTATATTTAAGAAAAAGTAGCATTTTAAATCATAATTTTTGATCTTATGGTTTCTAATTCATTATGCTATTTGTTAATAAAAGTAAGTATGTATGTATATTTGGGTGTGAAAGAAGTTATGAGTCATATATTTATGCAATAAATAGTAAAGAAACATTTTATGATGAGGTATTCATAATCAAGTACACCAAGAAAATCTTTTTTTCCCCATTCCAGTATCCAATACTACTGATTTTTCAGGCAAATGAACTACTACAGCCATCCCTCCTAATTCACGGACTTCCTGTTTGCGGTCTTGAATTTCTGTGGATGGGAAGCCAGGAGGACAAAATGGTGCGGATTCTTGTGGCACATGCATGGGGCCAAGCGTGGGAGGGTGCAGCCATTATATCCAATGGGACTTGGATATTTGCAATTTTTCCAATTCACGGGGGGGGGGCAGGGGGCAGAATGGATCCCCCATGAATCGGGAGGTACGACTGTACTTACTTTTGTAGAAGAGATTTGTTATGGGCATCTGATAATTAATAGATATTAGTTTGCATCAATTGTACAAACAGAAGATTTGACAAAAATGAACAACAGAAAATTGACAAGACATGTGGACCAAGACATGACATTAAACCTTGGCATGCTTTGATATATTACCATTTACCTATTATTAGACATGAACAACATATTAAAAAATAAAAATATATATTTTACACGAAACAAGATAAACATTTATTAAGATATTAAGATTTGCCCTCCCCTGCTTGAGATGACATCTACCTTTTAATGGTGTGAATTCAATGGTTTCAGGTTCTGCTTTTCCAGGCTTAATAACTATCACCTCCTCTTCAGGCACCTGAGGCTCCACTGTCTCAAGTGTCACAGTGCGATCTCCCTTTTTGAGCTCAGTAATAACTATCTTCTTTTCTTCCACCTCAGGCTGTACTGGTTTCTTGGGTTTAGCAATAACTATTTCCTCTTCTTCTTTGGGTTCTGTTGTTGGAGGCACCATGATGGCTTCTATTTTTTTGGGTTTGGCCACAACTATTTTCTCTTTTGACACATGTGGCTCTCCTTTTCTAGGCACCACAACAGCTTCTGGTTTTTTAGGTTTGGCTACTTTCTTCTCTGGCATTTGCGCCTCTAGGGTTTCCAGCACACCAGTATGTTCTAGTTTGGAAGATACCATAATTTCTACTTCTTTCTCCATTTCAAGCCCAACTGATTCAGGTACAAAAAAATGTACTGGTTTTCTGGGCTTCACAATTACTTTTTCCTCCTCTTCCTCCTCCTCCTCCTCCTCTTCCGGCATCATTGTTACAGGCACCATGATGAGTTCTGGTTTCTTGGTTTTGGCTGCAACTATCTTCTGTTTTGGCACCTGAGGCTCTCCTTCTTTGGGCACTGGGACAGTCTCTGGTATTTTAGGTTTCACAATGACTTCTTTCTTTTTTGGACCTTTGGATTCTAGTGTTTCAAGCAAAACTATATGTTCTGCTTTTAAGGATTCCACAATTGATATTTCTTCTTCTTCAACTTGAGGCTCAAATGATTCAGGCATTACAATTGGTTCTGGTTTTTTGGGTTCAGCAATAACTATCTTTTGTTTGGGCACCTGAGGTTCTGTGATGTTAGGCACCATGATAGGCACAGGTTTTTTATGTTTAGCCATGGCTACTTTAATTTTCGATACTTGCGGCTCTGCTGCTTCAAGCACCACAATGTGTTCTGGTGTGGGAGGTACAGCAACAACTGTCTCCTCTTCTTCCTCTTCAAACTGTAATGATTCAGGCACAATAGGTTCTGGCTTTCTGGGTTTGGTGCCAGCTATCTTCTGTTTTGGCACTTGGGGCTCTTTAGGCACCATAACTGGCTTAGTTTCTTTAGTTTTATCAACAGCTATCTTTACTGACACTTGAGTCCCAACTGTTTCAAGAATCTCAATATGTTCTAGTTTCTTGGCTATTTTGTCTTCTGGTACTTCAGTTTCTATAGCTTTAGGTACCACAACTGACTCCATCTTTGTAGGTTTAGCAATGTCTACTTTCTTTTCTGATACTTGCAACTCTGCTGTTTCAACTACTGCACTAGGTTCTTCTATTCTGGGTTTGGTAGTTTCTCTCTTCTCTTTGGGTGCTTGGGGTTCTCCTAATTTTGATACAGTAATAGTTTCTGGTTCAGAGGGTTTAGAAACAACTTTCTTTTCTTCTTGCACTTGAGGTCGTATTATTTTATGTATAGAAACAGTTTCTTCTTTTTTATGTGTAGGAGTTGGCTCTGCCTTTTCAAGTTTAGCAGCAGATAACTTCTCTTTTGTCACTCTTTTTCTGGACATCTCTGGCACTTTAAATAAAATTAATATTCCTTATAAGAATTTATCAAGCACAAAATGGAAACAGTAGCATCAAACTGAACAAGAGTGAAGTGACTGAAAAACATTCAGTTCTTGTGTTTTTGTTGCTTTAACCTTGAAGAAACAATGTACCTTTAGTCGATGGAATGTCTTGCTTCCTAGGAATGATGGCTGGAACTCTTTCCTCTATTTCTTCTAGAAGAATTTCTTCATGAGATTCTGCCACTTAAAGATATTAGTTTTTTTAAAGACATACAAAATCATACTTAGGAGATCATAGGACAAAAAAAGAGGTAAACAAAGACTGAACATACAGGGACCCCAACCTCATTGATTTAGTAATATGCTTCTAATTTTTCTGTAACTTCAGAAACAGGTCAATTTCTGGATTAAGTATTTACAACTGTTATCTCTTCTATAAAGATGTGGAAATTGAAGTGAGATGTCTTTGCAGCAATCTGTCAGCAGAAGTGGGTTTTCCTCAGTTATATATAAAATGGGTGGCAAGATATATGTAATTAAAGTAATTAAGCACAGCATGTGATAGCTACTGTACTATGCCTCCTTTATTACTTATGGCCTAAAGTATAAAACCAGTACTAACAGTCTTTAAAAACAAACAAAAAACAAACAAACAAAAACAGCAGTCCCAAAGTGTCTTAGAATAATTTTCCCATTAAACCATATACTCCACTTCAAATGGATCTGAAATTTGGCCATGCAAATCTTCAGTTAAGCTGTGGAAAAAAATCTGACTTCCACCTCTTATATCAGTTTGTCATTCTAGCTTCTTTTTTGCTTTTCCCAGATTTTCTTTGCCTTGCTTAACTTTTTATGGAAAGGGTTTTCATATATACTACATCATGATCAGACATACAAAAGAAACCCTATCAAAACATGTTAAAAACTATTTGTGTCTATTATTGCATATAAATATATATCTATTTAGTATTTATTCTAATAATGTAAATGGAAAATTAGTAGTAGAAATACTACTAATATACCTGAAAACCTGGATCTGGGTTGGGCAACACAGAACATTGAACAGACAAGATTTAAACAAAAAACATCTAATTAAAAGTGCATATACCTTCTCTCTGTGTAACCTCTTTCCTAGATACTGGAACTGATACTTGTTCGTCAGAGGTCCTTTTCTTTGGTATCACAGGAACTTTAAAGATATTAGTTTGTT